TTCTCAGTGTTTTATAGTTGTAATCTTTTTAAAGGTGCTTTAATTTTTTTCATTTGTTTATTTTAAAAGTAGAATATACTAAATTTTTATAATATAGAAATACAATAATATTTTTGCAAGAAATATACAATCAGATTAAGTATTGGATGGGTCATTAACTTTTGCTCTAACTGTTCAGTAATTAATGCTGTCATTCTTTCGCTCATTCAAAAATTGTGAAGGAGGGTTCACCTGCTAAATACATACTGGAGCAAGGTCTTGCTGATCAAATTGCTGGAATCTCAGTGCATAGAAACTGAATTAGAAAGAAGTGAATCTGAACATGTTGCAAAAAAAGCTTTGATATAATGCCAATAGGGAAGGGATGAGAACTGGTTCCAGTAAGTCTTTTCACATACAAAAACAGTATATTCTGTTTATAGCATAAAGTTTACAGGTGTGCTGTGTAATTGAAAGCGAAGTACTGGGAAACAAAGATCTCTGTGTACTGGCGGAAAGATGGAGTTAAGGCTACAATTTTACGTTTGTTTATATGGAAGTAAATTCTCAGTAGGGTTTAATTCTGAATAACGAGAAATAGAATTGTTCCTTGTATATGTGCCCAAGAGGAAGGTATTATGGATTATGGATCCTGTTCAGCTCAGTTTCTTTGCCCATGCTTTAACTTGCTTGAGCTGGAATGAGGTTCTCCTGGTGATCATAATATATGCATAACATTGGAGTGAATTAACCAAATGATGCTTTTCCTGCTAACCAAGACTATTTGTGATTACAGTTTTCAGGAAAGCAAAGTCTTGTCATATATCTGAAGAATCTGACCATATTGCCTGCAGGCCTTTCTAAGGAAGCTACCACTGCTGCCACATGTCTTGGGGTGGTTTTGTATACACTTAAGCTGCTACCAAGTTTCACCAGCAAAATATTATTTGGTTAATAACCCCAAATGATAAACATATATGTTCATCTCAGTGTGTCTTTGGGGATGATGAGGGTTGTGTAGTGTATCTGTAAAGCCCAGGATAGAGAAGGCAGCTTTAGCTACCTAAACTCCTGAAAGCTACCTGAGATAGGTCTGCCAATGCACAGAATCCCCATAGAAGTTTCTGAAATTATGCAACTCCTAGACCCTTCCTTTTGATATTCCACTTTTTAGGCAATCTACAAGATGGTTTCTTCAGTTATGAAGATGCCAGAAGATGAATCAACACCAGAGAAAAGAACTGAGAAAATCTTCCGCCAGATGGATACTAACCGAGATGGTAAATTATCTTTGGATTATCTTTCTTTTAACTTGTTTCTGTTGTTTCTGATCTCTCAGATGCCTTTTGAATAGCAGACTTGAATAAGAAGGTGGATGCCACTGATTCATAGACCCAGCAATAAACCTCTGTGAAAGAATGACTGTTTGTGTTACTGTGAGAAAGCTTTGGCAAGCCAAGTGCTGCCGAATGCTGCTTCTTGTTAGTTTGCTGTCTTGCAGCCCAGCCCATTACTCAGTTAAATATTAGGATTTAGATTTAAGCCAGTAAGAACCCCCTTTCACTGATCCCGGATATAATGGCACAGCAAGACAAATCCTGGAAGTATTACAACTAAAGTCCATTTCTCAGTTCCTTTAAACTTGGCTTCTGCTCCCAAATCTAGGAGTAGGAAAGAATTCAAATCTTTTTTTCTCCTGCCAATGAGTTTCTAGCTTGCTCTCATTCATACCCAAGTCAGAAGATGATGACATCATTATATGGTTATATGGAAAGAGTTCAAACAAATATTTGCTTTAAAAATTGATAGCATTACAATCCAATTAGAAATATATTCATTCTATAATGCTGTTATGAAAGCTATAAGTGTGTCCTCCCATTCTCCCTCCTAGCATCAATGTGCTTTATTAGATCAGTGTCTTGATTGGCTCAAAACATTATTGTTCTCCTGAACTGTAGGTAATTCTTCACTCCCAAAGTAATAGATCAGTTTCGGAAAGGCTTGAGTAATTGCATAAACTATGGAGGGGCTCTGTTTACCTAAGCTGAACAAATCTATATTTGCAGATGCCAAGTGCCCCTGTAACTAATTACTGCTGTCAAAGTTGATACTGCTCAGCTCTTGAGTAATGGGAATGATTTTTGCAATCATGTAGCTATAGACTAGGACACTTTTGAGGCTGGAACCATTTCTCAGCGGTAAAGATCATGATCTGCATGGGAGAAGTCTCAGATTCAGTCTTTGGCATCTGTAATTTAAGAGCAAATGTGTAAGATTCTGGAGAGCCAGTGCCAATCTGAACAGACCAGGTTTTCCCAATATGGCCTTCTGGATGTTCTAGAAGTTATAGTCCAGCACTCATAGAAGTCTTTAGTTTGGAGAAGCTTATGGTAGACAATAATAAGCTGCGTCAATAATACCTGAGCTGGTGTGAGGTAGAGTTTCATATTTAAATTTGTCATTGCATATTAGCTTCTCTTGGCCATTTCTACCAAAAGATTCCCTTGCCCTTGTCCCCCCTGGAAAGGGAGTATGATACAGATATGCCAAACAATGGAGGGCAAGAGATATATTTCAAAGGATCAGACAGGAAAATAGGTGGAAGAAGCTATGGTTGCCTCTTTTCCTAATTCAGTAACAAATTCAGCACTACAGAAATTTCCTATATAGTGGCAATCATATGATGCTTAGGATCAAGATGTTATTTTTAAGTCAAAGACTAATAGTGTTATACCTGCTTACACATACTGGCTAAATTTGCATTGCACACTAAACCATAAAACCTAGTTTACAAATCATAGTGATTAAACCAAACCTCAACTAAATTATGACTCAGTGTGTTGTATGAATTGGACTGCCATGTTAAACTGTAATATCGTTTGTTTTGAATTAGCATGTTGGGAGAACAAAGTATTTTTAATCATGACTTATGGCTTAGCATGTTGTGTGAACCTAATTACAAGTAGTGATAATTCATATCTATTTTAAAACCCAAACCAGCATCTCTGTTTATTTTCTAGGAAAACTTTCTCTGGAAGAGTTTATTCGAGGAGCCAAAAGCGACCCTTCTATTGTCCGTCTCCTTCAATGTGATCCCAGCAGTGCTGGACAGTTTTAAAGCTGATGTTTGTATTTACTTTGTGTCTTTCTGGTTTCTGTTTCTTTTGTCTCATATATCTCTTTGCCAGAACAACATTCATGGGTGGTGTTGCCTCTTTAAGGCTAACTATGCCTTCTTTTGTGGCATTATCTGCTTTCCTCATGGCCAACCATGAAGATGTTGTGCTTACACTCTCTCTAAAACACATCCTGGATTACAGAGAGTGCAATTGTCACAACAGTGTCATTTTTCAAATTGTAATTATGTGGCCTGTGTCCCGCTGAGTATGAACAGGACTTACTTCCTAATAGGATTAATGCCTTAAGTTTTGTCTTGTTTGCCAATTCCAAGCTTAAAAAAGGAAGAGTTCTGAACTTGGTTCCAAAACTCTGTAGGGTCTGAGGCACACGTGGAGCAAGGCCCAAGTCAGCTAATAACTGCCATATTCCTTTCAATATTGGGGAATGTTAAAGAACTTTTTTTGTCATTCTGATGAATGAAGAGGACTCTGATCATGGGGGGCTTGATGTGTATGCCAGAGAGAGGATGCTAATGTTTGCATCAGATCTAGGGTTAAGACACTTTATATACAAATTTCTGTTACCACGTTATGTTAGACATAGGCAGTATTCTTCACTGGACATTTTCCTTAGAATGTATTAGAAAAGTACCTTAGGCTAGGACTTAGAGTTAAAGTCATAGCTGCTAGAAATACGTGGAGAGCCAGTTTGGTCTAGTGGCTAAAGTGCTGGATTAGAAGCTGGGATGCTTTGAGCTCTAGTCTTGCATTAGGCATGGTAGCCAGCTGGGTGCTCTGGACCAGTCACTCTCACATCTAGAAAGAAGGTACTGGCAAGCTATTTCTGAAAATTTTGCCAAGACTTATCCCTGTAGTCATCAGGAATCAGAGTTGATTCAATGGACCATAACATCAACAGAAGTAGTACTACTGGTACTGAAAAAATAAATGCAAATCTTAATTTCCAATACAGAAGCCAAAATGGTAAATTAAATATGTGGATTGATCCTAAGAAATCCTTAGCAATCAGTATATGGAGGTTTGAAATTCCTTTTTTAAGTGATAGAGAATCCAATCTTCCAGTCTAAATGATGCAACAAAGGGACCAATGGCACCATGGAGCCAAATTTAAGTAATACACAATGAATTTTTTGTCTGCAAAGGTGTGAGTTATAATAGAATTAATGATAAGGAATAGTTAACACTAACCTATGTTGCCATGGCACTTCTCCACCCTTCAGAGATGCCATAACTTTAGTAAAATTATAGAAAATAATTGGCTTGTTTAACTGGTTTCTTTTCAAATCATATAAATATTTCAGCTTTTTTTAAAACCAGATTCTGCAAATGTCCTTTCCTTATTTGGAGAAAGGGCAGAGGAGAATGCCAAACAGGCATTGTTATCTTGATTATCAATTAACATCTTGGATCAGGAAGGATAATTGTGCAAGTTGAGAACTGAGCTGAGGAAAACTGAGCTAAATGTGTGGAAAAATGCATGTTGTGATGGTGAAGGAGAATGAAGGCATTTCTTATCTGGAAGGCCACTTACCTTGAAGAGAATTTCAGGGAAATGAGAGGACTTGGTAATAGAATGATAGAAAACTTGTATGTTATAGAGTCTTATTTTGTTTGTATTAAGTTGAGGAGAATCAGTGGTTCCAATATTTTCTAAGTATGTAACTTTACCAGTTTAGATTTGTAGAGGAGGAATCAGCAGACAGGAAAGACATGGTTATACATAATCTTTTTCCTCTTCCACTGCCACGCCAAAGCCATTTCCCCCTTCAGCTCCAGTCTTGAAGCGTGGCTTTCAGAAAAACAATAGAAATGGGAAACAGGGCATTGTTCCAGGGAAGAATTAGAAATCTGGAAGTATATGCAAAAAGAGAATCAGCTGACAGGGAGGACATCCATATATTTAACTATTTATGCACCAGCCAAGTTTTCAGGTATCTTGCCAAGGCAGTTTCCTCCTTCATCAATGGTTTTGGAGTCTCACTAGCATAAAAATAGCAGAAAGGGAAGAGAAACAATTGTAATAGAGAACTGGAAAGGGTTAAACACCCTTTTCAATCCAACCTGTTCCTCCATTGAGATCCTATTTCTTATATAAGCAAATACTAGCATTTGCTTGGTAACATGTAGTTTTGCCCTGGTTAGAATGGAAAGGGGTATGAGGAAATGATACAGTTTAAGCACTTGGCAGCAAAGGAAGAAGTTGATGTGAATGCATTTCAAATTCTGGACGGAGGGGAGTTCTCCCAAGGTAGATTCTTCACCCTTTTTTTTCATACCACAGAAGTAACTTGGTCAACAGCCCGTGTTTCTTCCAAATTCTAGTCATCAAGCTCATTATGTGGTGGCATTTCAGCTGCACCTCAAAAGTAGCTGTGTAAATCAGTGTTGAAATGAGCAACGCTAATTTGTTGTAGTGCATCAGTTTCATATTGTTTTGTTTTATTTTTTTAAGGAGCAGGAACAAAGGAACCCTGTTAATATTGTTTCAGGTATAAAGTGTAGGATTCATGTAGGTCTTAATTAAAACACTGACAGGATACCATTTGTGATACATTTATAAATATAACCACATGCATACACACACACTTAGTGGAAAGATATGTAATGTTTTGTATTTTTTATCCAAAGGTAACTATTTTATTTATAGTTATCTTCTCCTCTATCTTCTTGAAATTCCTTCTACAAATCTTTAGCTATGTTGAAGATAAAGGGATGGGCACAATGGAGTTTATAAACATTTTGAAACCCCCCTCAAAGCAGCAGTCCGGTTGCATCATTTGTCAGGCAGCAGCTTCCGCACAGAGCTAGGGAATAAACTGGTTAATGGAGCTGTTTGGGCCTTGAAGTGCACCAAGATCTCTTGCTCTGACATGTAAGAGAGGAACTCCAGATGAAAGGGAATTCGTTAATGGCAGAGTTAAGTGGGAAGGGAGGCAGGGTGTGTGTAAGTAACGATAGTTCCTTCCTACCTGGACTGTTAAATTTGTTTCAGTAAGGAATCCCCAAACAATGCTTGTGAAAAAGACAACATTTCAACTATGGTGTTGGTTATGAGATGATTAGCATTACTATTATGTAAGAGGATTACCTTTTAAGTTTTTATTTGTGTTTTGCTAACATATTTTGTAAATTCCACCAAAAAAGGAAATTGGACAAATCATCTCCTGAGTATTTCACTCAGGATTGGGCTGACTTTTTATATTTGCGGCCTTGCTTTAAAAAAAAAAGTGCTACTTTTTTGGCCTCAGAGACCATAAGAGATGTAGCAGTATGGCCCTGGAGGAATCAGAGTTGAAATTTGTTAGCAGTTTTGGCTTTTATTAGGTTTTTGAAGGTTGCATAAAAGAGGAATATAAGTTTATCCCAAAAGCTAAGCTTCTGAATTTTAGTGTGTGGCCACTAAAATTGGATTTACTGTAAAAAAAAAAGGGGGGGGATGGAGTGAGAAATTACATGTGAACTGTTAGTTGTGGATTTACAGAGCTGAGGATTAATTTATTAATTCCATGTCCAAGCATTGCAATCAAGAATAACACTTGCTTTGTTATTGCTTGTGCTGTTATGAGGCAGTGGGTTATTTTTCTTCTAAAAAATAAAAAGGCAGAGCCCAGCAACATTTTTGATTTTTAAGAGCATTGGGCACTTAAACAGACGAACAAATTTATATCTGGATATTCAAATACTGGACATAATGTTGGCAAGATAAAACTGTGTACAAAACAGGCAGTAAAATGGTTCTCATTTTCACCAATTCACTTGGCTAGTTGGTATTGTAGGCTGGCTGTGTTAAGAGTTAGGATGGAACTTAACCATTCTTTAATAATGGAATTCACAACCCCTTTTATCATCGTGCTAGTAATTTTAAAGCATTTCTGACTGAATTTCTAAAGGATTTTGCTTTACGAAGAAGTGGGTGTTTATAAAGTTGCTTAACAGTAATTTAAATCATTTGTTTCAACTAGCTGATTTCAACATAAAAAAGTAAATCTCCTAAAAGTCTAGTTGGGGTCATGCAAGGCTATGGTCACAATTCATTCTTTCTAAAAAGCAGCCAGATGTGTCTTGGTTTTTTTTTTTAAATACTGCCTTTTGTTTAAGCAGCTGTGCTCACCCATTTGCTTGGATGCTTGGCAAATCTTTTGGCCCAGAGCCTTGTTTCCTGATTTAGGGACACAGTGTGTGGTTTCCTCTCTGATTATTTAAATATGAAGAACAGAATAAATTTTTATATTAATGGTTGGAAGCAGAAACCATTCGGATGCCAATACAGAAGTCTTAAGAACAGCTCTAAGGAACAGGAGTAAGGATAGATTTTTACTTGTATATCGACGTTTCCTAGCCCCATCCAAATGGGCTGTTCTGGAAATAGAAGGGTTCCTTTGTTTATGGAACAAGCAGGAATCTAGGAGAATACTCTCCTCCCTCTACCGAGGAAGAGTAGGAAATTTCCACCAGTAATGTTTTCTTCTCCTCTGCAGTTCTCTCCATGTTCCCCAGAGTCCCCAACTCACAGATTTTGCGGAGAAAGAAAATAGTCCACGTTCCCTACTTCCCCTGGATCTAGTCAATCAGCAGTTGTGTTCACTTTGTGTGTGATATTGGTTGTTCTTGCATTATTTTTTAAAAAATTAATAGTGGGTACAAGGGACATTGAGGTAAATCAAGAGAGTAGGGTAGGCAAGGACTTTCCCCTCCAATATAGTTCTGAGCAGAATTAGCCCCTCCATTGTGAAGAACACATGGGGGTGGGCTTAATGCCGATCAAATTAACATAAAGTTTGCAGATCTCCAGCTTGTGTGCCAGTTGTGCCCGTTCCTGGATGGGAGGCCCTGCTCTTGCCCACTCATAGCTTACATACCTCCCAGCTGGACTAGTGGAATGCATTCTATGTGGGGCTGGCTTTGAAGATCACCCAGAAACTGCAGTTGATCCAGAATGCAGCAGTGCAGGAAGCTATGGCCACACCACAGTATGCCTGTGTAACACTACTACTTTGTGAAGTGCACTGGCTATCAGTAAACTTCCAGGTGCAATTCAAGGTGCAGGTTAAGCCCTTCTTGGCATAGAATGAGGTTATTTGCAGGACTACTTGTCTCCAAACATTTCTGCCCAGCCAATATGCTCTAGAAGGATGCACATGCTCCTGGTCCCTTCCCTGAAGCAACGTCATCTGTTGGGACCTAAGAGCATGTATCCTCTGTCACGACGCTTACCCTTTGGAACAGTCTCTCCCCCCAGATGCGATTGGTCCTAACCCTGTTAGCCTTTAGGAAGGCTTGAAAAACTTGGCTAAGATGATAGATGAGCCCATCTTTGGGAAGCAGAGTGTGCTTTTGATGGTACACTATTGTATGTCAGTATCAGTTTTGTTCTTGATGGTTTTAATTGTAATTTGGTTTTATTGATGTATACTGCCTGTAGTTGCAATCACATGAGTTGGGCAGTGAGATAAATCTAACAAACAAACAAACACACTTCCATAAAAAGAGAAGCAGTTTTGCTAATAAATTCATTTAATAATAATTAAAATGCCTTTTAGAGTTATTCAGATGGTTGTGATATAGTCAGACAAGGCAGTAAATGCAATGGAAATCCTGTCTCCAGGAATCCCGTAGGCAACATCCCTGCATTATACAACTCTATACTATCCTTTGCAGCTGTTGGATTATACTCTTGTTGCAAATCTACATTTTCAGATGAGGAGGCACCTTAACAAAATATCTAGTGGTAAAGTCAAAGTTAAAGTACTTTATTTTGGTAATTGACTGTATTTGAATGACATAAATATCTATTGGTATAATCATCATATATTACTGTTGGTTTGGGAGACACACTCTAATTTTATACACAGCTGTGTGAAGTAGGGGTTAAAGAGTTGGACTAGCACCAGGTTCAAGTCCACCTTCAGCCATGGAAGTCACAAGGTGACTCTCAGTCCTTCCTCCTTCACAGGGTTCTTGTTGGAAAAAATAGGAGGATGTGATATGTACACCATCTTGAGCTCCTGAAGGAATGGCAGGCTTATCAGTCAGTCAGTCAGTCAGTCAGTCAGTCAGTCAGTCAGTCAGTCAGTCAATGCTGTGGAAACAGTATAAAGGAACATTTCCCAACCTGGTGCCCTCTATATTGGAGTTCAACTTCCAGAGTTCTCAGCTGCTTGGTCCAGCATATCAGATGGCAGTAGATTGGAGAGACCTGAAGTAGAATATGTTGTGGTCTGCTATTGACAAATGAATATTAATAGTAGGTATTATTAAAAGACACAAGTAAAAGATATGTTAGGAGAAAAGCATATTTGTATCTATGGTTACTTTCTGTCAATTATTCATAATGAAGAATCCTGACAAAAAGCCCTTTCAGATTGAAAATTTGGGTGCTCAGATTTGCATTGTCCCAATAAAAGGATACAAGTAAGAGTCCAGTGGAAGCATGGATGTCCATAGGGGTGGGGTGGGGGGTGGGGGGATAAAATTGTTTAGTGGAAATCTTGTCCTGACCCATGTAACATGTGCCCCTGATGCAGGTAAAAAGGATCAGGACTTCCATCACACTGTTGTGGCCACCATCTTAACATCCCCCCTTGTGGACATCTCTGAATGGGAAAAAGTTGTGATCAAGCATAGGATGCAGACTTTTCTATAACGTAGCTTGCATGTTTTATCATAAATCAACAGACAGCAGCTGTGTCATAGAAATAAACCATGAGGGTGGAGAGAAGTCTCCTATTTCTAGAGACAAATATCAAGTTGTCTTTGTGACCCAAAACTCAGCCTTAGCTGCCATATAAACAGTGATGTGCATTATTGTCAGTCCATAGCTATCCATGCTCTGACAACTTGCTGCAGTGCTGGCAAACCTGAGGGAGTACAAAGGCATTTTTTTTTTATTCTCGTAGAAGAGCTGATTTAGCAAGAATAAGCAATTCATGCCAAATCTTGAGATATTTTCACACATGCGCATTATGCACATATGCAAGCACACAACCGAAGACATTTCAGGGTTTTTTTTTAATACATGTTGCTTTATTTTAGGCCTTTGTAGATAAATATTAAATCCAGAACAACTTCCATTTGTTTTTGTAGGATTTTGACTGCAGCCTTTTGGAATTGCTGATATAAAGCTTGGGGTAGGGTTGCTTTAATTTCCAGTATTACTGCATATTTTGGAGCTCCACTCTATTCTCAATTATTTTAGGATAGTGCATGCAATCTTAGAACTGAATAAAGGTTCAAGAACCAATTTAGGACATAATAAATGCTGCTTTGCAGGCTACAGAATTTCCATGGCTGTAAAGATACAAATGGGCTGACCCTAGTTTAGAGAAAGCTGGTCACGGTTGAGTTGCACTGACCTCAGTGATACAAATCAGTCACAATCAACGTGAGTCTCCCTGATTTCAGGAGGATGTGAGTACAGTTAACCTGCCTTGGATGACCTCAGATCTGAGGGTATGTTACAAATCGGCCATTCTTCTACGTGTGCAGTGCAAATCAACCCTGCGTCTGTTTGCTCATCATTATCCAAACTGTGTCGCATGCTTCCTGATCAAGTTAAGGAATCCATCCATAAAAGTGGCTTCTGTGGGTGTTACCTCCTTTAAGGGATCAGGTGAAAAAGTATATATTGTTTTTAAATGTTCAGCATGGTTAAAGCATATCTGTAGAACATAACCCACTTATTTCAGTTGAGGAGTAGAACAGATTCGATGGATGATAATATAATTTATGTGTTCCAGAGCATGGCCTTTATGGTTTCCTTTTCTACGCTTTTTGCTAGAATGTTTCTAGAGTTTCTCAGTGTAAAAGGGATACATTTTTCCCACACTGAAAAATGCATCTGTACTTCTGTATTTACTGTTCAGAAAACGACTTTAACTGTACTGACTAGTTTCCTATTGGGTGAGCTCTTCCATCCACCATTCACATGATATGCAAAATCTGTGAAAGTCTTAACAGTGTGATTTGCATTTTTAAGGCAGTACTGATGTGTGATCCTAGTGTGTGTTGCTAGTGGCCATGTTGTTGTAAAATGTAAGGGAAAAAAGCTACTTAAATCTGAATTCTTAATGTTTGGCTTATTAAAAGTATTGAGACTTGCATGTTAATTAAACTGATTATTCCTTCCTACCCCATTGCTAGTTGCACAACGATGCAATTGTTTTTATTTGTACAGGGAACTTGCATTCCACATTTGTCCATTTGTTCGTTTTAAAATTGGGACTTGTTATTATGATCTGTCTAAAAAGTCTATTTTTCTGTAATTATCTCAGAGTCTGGTTCTTCCTTTTCCTTCCTTCCTTCCTCCCTCCCTCCCTCCCTCCCTCCCTCCCTCTTTCTCTCTCTCTCTCTCTCTCCTCTTTTAAACCACACTTGCTCTTTGCTGCTTAATGATTATTGCTCTTTTCATAGAAAAAATGATCCTGAAAAATTGACATTTTTGTAAGTTCCTATCCACATAGTGTGTATTATCTTTCCCCATCCTGCCCTGGAAATATGTTGGACTGCAACCTTCAGAACTCTCAGCCAGCATGCTAGCGATCTTGCTGCTGGAAATCTTGGAAACTGAATTCCAAAACATCTTGAGGGGGAACCAATTTGGAGAATGGCTGATGTATGGTTTTATGTTAAACTGACACATTAAAGTTATTATATTGAGTTATTTTTTTTTATCACCTCAATTTCACGCGTTGATGAATTAGTGATTATCAAGACAGATTTAAACATGCTTAACCTTGTTTCATTGAACCCGATGGTTCCTAAACCAGTTTAATTCTTTTTTCCTTAAGTGCTCAGATTTGATACAAGAATCAAAATTAGAAATGTTTCAGTCCATTGAGATTAATTCATGCACACACATACTGACCAGGTTGGAAGTTTGGATATTAACTATTGGTGTGGGGCAGGCTTTTTCATTATGATTGGTTTTGCAGTGGAATGGAACCCACATGTTTTTTATTATATACTGCGCTGCAGTATGGCATATACAGATGCTTTAACAGCAGCATTGTTGGCTGGTTTAAAAAAGAGAGAGAGAGACAGAATCAGAGAGAGATGAACCTGTGATCATGTAGTTTTACAGTGCCAAACACATGAACAGTATTGTTTGAAGAAAAGTAAGATTTTTTTACTGTATTACTGCTGAACAGATATTGTTTTTAAATGTTCAATTTTAAATAATTTTGTATTGTATACCATTTTGTGACATGGTACTTTTTCATACTGGAATAATTGATTGCACCTGATTATAATTGTATTTTTTCCTTTTACGAATACATGACCTTAACCCAGTATTTTTGAAAGGTATGCAGATACCATGTCTGTCATGATGCCCCTAAATTTTGTTCCCTTCCGACTATTCAGTGCTATTAGGCTTTCTAGGAAATTCAGTTCCATCTTTCCTGAGGGAAACCAAATCATTTTCAGGAGGCCCCAGCATGATGTCAAAGGATTCTGAATATTCCAGCTGTCATATAGCCCAGAGCTGTCCAGGGAGTCAGAAAAGTTAAAATGGCACTGGTCTCTTGGATAAATGCAGTATTCATGTTTTTTCACACCAAAAGGTATGGAAGCCCTACCACGTGTTCTTTACTTTACCAGAAAGAAATGTTCAGTCATTTCAGACATAGATATAAACTTCTTGTAAAAATGGAAGTTGGAAGAAAAAGACCAGTGATGGCACAAGGACTTGCTTTTCAGTGGTGTAGAGGAAGATTTTATGTTTTTTGCTGCATCCATGAACATGCCAAAGGCTGATTGTCGGTTGCCACATTTTGGCTGAAGAGTTGGCTGCTGCAGTCCTACAGCACTGAGTTGGAGTACCAAACATGACTAAAGAAATGTGGCAGTTAAGTGGCCAAATAATAGCAGACAATAAGAAAATCAAGTCCTGCCGCAGCAACTATAGTTAAAGCCCCACCTGCTATTCCATCATGGCCCTGGGCCCCAGATGAATGCCTTTGGAATCACATCTCGCTGTTAATAAGGACATGTGACACATGGAAGGTGGTGGCTGTGAGCCCCACATGGAGTGTAAGCCCCTGGGGCTGGGTTTGCACTACTGGTTAAACCTGTGGTTGGCTAGTTTATCACTCAGTGACTGGGTTCACACAATACACTAGACTAGGCTAAAATAACGTCGGAGTCCCAGCTGTTATTTCATGCGAATCAAGCTATAATATGGTTTATTTGTTCAGATGTAGCATGTTCTGCAAAGATGAGCATTGTGTACAGGTAGTTCTCGTTTAGTGACCACAATTGGGACCGGCAACTCGGTCACTAAACAAAGTGGTTGCTAAGTGAAACATGATTTCACAATCTTATTTCAGCTTTCCTTTGCTTTACAGACCTGTGGAGGTTGTAAATGTGAGGATTGGTCACAAAGTTACTTTTTCATCACCGTCATAACAGCGAATGGTCACTAAACAGGGACTACCTGAATGGTTAAACTAGATTAGGTGTATTGTTCTGTGTGAATCCAGCCATAATATGGCCCAAGCGGTTTATATATAATTCAGTGTGTGCTT